GCCTTTACATCTGCGAGGCTGTTCGTGCTGTGCCATCCACAGCTGAGCCAGGCTGGCAGGAGCAGCCAGAGAACAGAGCCAGGGGGCTCAGTGACTGTGAGGGGCTGGAGTCTCCCCAATCCTGGCTTTGTACCCTCCTGAGGACACCCAGGGAAGGGCTGCAGCCCCTTCCCTCTCGGGTTTTGGTTGTTGATTGCTGCCCTGAGATGTGCAGGATGTCTCTGTTTCACTTGCATGGCTGAAGAATGAGTCTGGAGTCTTCACTTTTCGGTCTTGAGGTTGTTTATCAATTCTTATGTATAAAATTTTCCTTCTGCCCAGCTGAGTTCTGCTCAGCAGGGCAGCCACAGGCACTCTGACCACCCCTCTACACCACAAACCAAGTACAACATATCTACACTTAATTCCCAATACCCATCACCTGTGTTAGACAGTGCACTTCTACTCTAAACCAATCCCAAAGTGCCAACATCACTGCAGAAAATGGAGAACAAGAAGAAGGAGAGGAAAGACAGGACATGCCCAGATTCCTCCATCTTGCCTCTTGAACCCCAAAATTCTACATTTTCACCCTGTCACAAATTCACTATCATTCTACTCAAACTCTTGTGGCTTGTGACTCCTCACACAAAGCTGGGGATTGTTTCCATCCCTTGGGGTGGTGTTAGTTTTTTATACTAAAAGCTAAGTGTACAATATTTACAATTACTTCCCAATACCTATCACTTGTGTTAGACAGTGAGCTTCTACTCTAAACCAATCCCAAAGTGCAAACATCACTGCAGAAAATGGAGAACAAGAAGAAGGAGAAAGGCTGGACACACCCAAGTTCCTCCATCTTGTCCCTATAACCCCCCATACCAAAAATCCTAAAATCTCCATTTCCACCCTGTGATAATTTTATTATTATACTATTCAAACCTCTGTGACTTTCAGGTCGTCAAACAAAGCTGGCAGCTTGCTCCAGGGGTCACAGTCAAATCCCCAGGTGTTTTGGGCTGTGTGCCAGGGTCTCTGAGCCCCCGGTGGGGTCCTGGCAATTCTGGGCACCCAGAGGGATGTACTGAGTTCTGACATTTCCCCAAGCTGGGGTTGCCCCTTTGCACTGGCACTCATGGCTGGGCTGGTGGGATC